TCGGTCCCGGCCCCGGTCGGGGCACGTGCGGGAGGCAACCCATCGATGTGTCTCTCTCACATCCATGTTTCTCTCTCTCTCTCCCCTTTCCACTTTCTCTGAAACGCAATGGGAAAAATATCCTTGAGGATTAAAAAAAAATTAAATAGATAAAAATATTTGCATTAATGAAAACTAGCTAAATAATAAAATAAATGATTCTTTAAAGTAAATTTAAAAATAGTTAAATAAAAATAAAAACAAGTAAATTAAAAATAAAGCAATAACATAAAATAGGTTGAAAATAAGTAAATAATTACAGTAACATTAACGTTTATTATGTTGAGGTGAGTTCCGTCTGTACCTGGAGGGTTCTCAGTATAAATGGACTTTGAATTTTGTCAAAAGCATTTTTTCTTTTTTGTGGGATATTGTCTATGGACCGTCCATATGTTCGCTTTGCAGAAATGTGTGTTGAGGCCCTCGGCCCATTTTCAGCCGGACTGGCTTTTGTTTCGGTTTTTACGTTGTACGAGTTCCTTATACATCTTGGATATTAACCCCTGATCGGTCGATGGATCATTGACACAGACCTTCTGTCATTTATGAGGTTAATTTTTTTGGTTTGTGGATGGCAACGTTTACCGNTCTCTCTCTCTCTCTCCTTTCCTCTCTGAAATCAATAAAGATATATTAAAAAAAAAAAATTAAATGTTAAAAATATTTGCATTAATGAAAACTAGCTAAATAATAAAATAAATAATTCTTTAAAATAAATTTAAAAATAGTTAAATAAAAATAAAAACAAGTAAATTAAAATAAAAATAAATTAAAACAATACAATAAAATAGGTTGAAATAAGTAAATAATTACAGTAACATTAACGTTTATTATGTTGAGGTGAGTTCCGTCTGTACCTGGAGGGTTCTCAGTATAAATGGAGTTTGAATTTTGTCAAAAGTATTTTTTCTTTTTTGTGGGATATTGTCTATGGACCGTCCATATGTTCGCTTTGCAGAAATGTGTGTTGAGGCCCTCGGCCCATTTTCAGCCGGACTGGTTTTTGTTTCGGTTTTTACGTTGTACGAGTTCCTTATACATCTCGGATATTAACCCCTGATCGGTTGGTGGATCATTGACACAGGCCTTCTGTCATTTATGAGGTTAATTTTTTTGGTTTTGTGGATGGCAATGTTTACCGGCCCTGAACCTTCTCAGTTCGACGCAGTCCCGTTTATTTATTCTTTCTGCCTATTAAATAAAAATAAAAATCTGCCCAGCCGGGCGTGGCTCAGCGGCTGAGCGTCGACCTAGGATCTAGGCGATCGGGGTTCGATTCCCGGTCAGGGCACACGCCCGGGTTGCGGGCTCGATCAATGACTCTCTCATCAGTGATGTTTCTATCTCTCTCTCTCCCTCTCCTCTCTCTGAAATCAATAAAGATATATTTAATTAAAAAATTAAAAAATAAAAATAAAAATTGAAATTTAACTTAAACATAAGCTAATAAAACGTGACAATGACATAATATATTATTTCCAGGCTGTGGGCACCTCGGGGACAGCAGGCGTGGGCAGAAAACCAGCGGGAGCCCGTAAGCCGTGTCATCCCCTTAATAAGGCTCATGGGATTCTCCACCGTGACCGTCTTGTCTCGCTGGTGGGTCTCCTGCTCCAGCACCGAGTCGCTGGTCGTCCCCAGCTTGCTAACAGCCCCGTACCCCCTGCAGCCAGGACAACCGGGGACCCTCAAAGCCAGGTGGCCTGGAAGGAAATGAGTTCCCCGGGGGATCAGGCCACCCCGAGTCTCCTGGACCAGTGCTCTCACGGCTTCATGGTCTCCCAGGTAGGAGCCGGGGAAGAACCTACCGCTGGGCAGGCTCGGGTCCCACGGACGGGAGAGGGGGTGGGGGGTGGGGGGAACT